ACTCTTGGTATTCTCTCAACCAGCTTCACCTGGAATGCTTTTCCAACAGTCTTGAAGGAGTTCCCACATATGCTGAGCACTTGTTGGCTGCTTTTCCTTCACTCTGCGGTCCAACTCATCCCAAACCATCTCAATTGGGTTGAGGTCGGGTGATTGTGGAGGCCTGGTCATCTGATGCAGCACTCCATCACTCTCCTTCTTGGTAAAATAGCCCTTACACAGCCTTGAGGTGTGTTGGGTCATTGTCCTGTTGAAAAACAAATGATAGTCCCACTAAGCCAAAACCAGATGGGATGGCGTATCACTGCAGAATGCTGTGGTAGCCATGCTGGTTAAGTGTGCCTTGAATTCTAAATAAATCACAGACAGTGTCACCAGCAAAGCACCCCCACACCATCACACCTCCTCCTCCATGCTTTACGGTGGGAACCACACATGCAGAGATCATCTGTTCACCTACTCTGCGTCTCAAAAAGACACAGCGGTTGGATCCAAAAATCTCAAATTTGGACTCATCAGACCAAAGGACAGATTTCCACCGGTCTAATGTCCATTGCTTGTGTTTCTTGGCCCAAGCAAGTCTCTTCTTATTATTGGTGTCCTTTAGTAGTAGTTTCTTTGCAGAAATTCGACCATGAAGGACTGATTTACCCAGTCTCCTCTGAACGGTTGATGTTGAGATGTGTCTGTTACTTGAACTCTGTGAAGTATTTACTTGGGCTGCAATCTGAGTTGCAGTTAACTCTAATGAACTTATCCTCTGCAGCAGAGGTAACTCTGGGTCTTCCTTTCCTGTGGCAGTCCTCATGAGAGCCAGTTTCATCATAGCGCTTTATGGATTTTGCGACTGTACTTAAAGAAACTTTCAATGTTCTTCACATTTTCCGGATTGACTGACCTTCATGTCTTAAAGAAATGATGGACTGTCATTCCTCTTTGCTTATTTGAGCTGTTCGTGCCATAATATGGACTTGGTCTTTTACCAAATAAGGCTATCTTCTGTACACCACACCTACCTTGTCACAACACAACTGATTGGCTGAAACGCATTAAGAAGGAGAGACATTCTACAAATTCACATTTAACAAGGCACACCTGTTAATTGAAATGCATTCCAGGTGACTACCACATGAAGCTGGTTGAGAGAATGCCAAGAGTGTGCAAAGCTGTCATCAAGGCAAAGGGTGGCTACTTTGAAGAATCTCAAATATAAAATATATTTTGATTTGTTTAACACTTTTTTGGTTACTACATGATTCCATATGTGTTATTTCATAGTTTTGATGTCTTCACTATTATTCTACAATGTAGAAAATAGTAAAAATACAGAAAAACCCTGGAATGAGTAGGTGTGTCCAACATTTTTGACTGGTACTGTAGGTCTACACTTCATATCGAATAGATATAGTACAGTAACATAAATCTACACTTCATATCTAATATGGTGATGTTGATTAGACCCACTACTGTAGCAACTGTGTCATTTTTATATAGACAATTAGAAAAGTCTAATTACAAAATATATGTTGTGCATTTCAATATGTAGTCTTTAATATAAGCAATTAGACAAATAAGTGTGAAGCCTACAAAATACCAATATATTGTGGATGTTGATGTCTGTACAGACTAAAGTTACTATATGATATAAACAAACACACAAAGGAAGCATGACAGACGTTGAAGCATAGCTAATAGTCACGAACACGGAATTATAACTGCTTTTCAAATGCCAAAATAAGATCATTTTTCTAATGACAATGACAGTTTCATGAACCATGAATCAAAGCGTCAATGAAAATATTTTCCACCTTTTACACAAACAACAACAAAGGCATAACAACATGGTAATTAGTGTGTTTGCCCCCATGACATCTCTAGATGGAATTAGTGATGGGTTCGTGGAGGCTGGCTGGCTGTTCTGGGTGGATGTTGTCTCTCTATCCAGCTTACGAAGAGAGAGAGACCCATTGTTTGACACGCGTCGAGGCTGGTTTTGGCGCAACAGACAAACAGAGAGACCTGGCTCCAACCAGCCGCTGAAACCTAATGATTCACCTGGCAACCCTTTTTGATCCACATGGTAGCTAGACTTGTATGCCAGCATCAATACCTTTTCAACCACTCTTAGAAATTCACCGATAACTAAACATTTATTTAGGAACAATAGAGCGTTATTTTTGGTCAATTGTATTCCCCTTTCGTTCCTTTTAGTGGGTCAACGCACGCAGCAACCGAGGTCTGTGCACTAGAGATGTTTGATGCCAGATATTATTGCAGATGTTAGATAAATTATATTAAAGCACTTTTCGAATATAAACCGAATATCTAAATAATGCTTATATTATTATTTGTAGTTTCCCCCATTAAGAACATGCAGTTAATAAGACAGCTAGGCGTTTCACATGACAGCTAGATGTTTTCCGTGTTCTCCCTCTGTAATGTAACCATCAGCCAGTTGGAAAGCAGAAGCAGCGATGTTCAGAATATATAATTAACTATGCTCTGGTGTCATCCCTGCCATGCCGTGTCGCCTGGATGCTCTCAAGCAGCATGACAGTTTTCCCTCGTCAGATTATGAATTGTACTTAATCCTTGCTGGATCAGCCACCGTCGTCCCTCCCTTGGTTCAATATTACTAATGTACATTCTATTGGCTGCATTTGACAGATGTCTAAATCTCCCTCAATCCGATTCGACATAATACTTTCACTGCTATTAAATCACACTGGTGTATGGTAGACGCTGGGCTGGCTGGCTGCAAGCGTGGGCTGAAATTTCGTTCATGAGAGGCAGCAAAGTGTCAAATGGTTATCTTTTTAGTTCACAATTCAAGTTATTATGTTCTGAATGTGAACGGGTTTGTAGAGTCAGCGACGGGAAAGATGCTGTATCCAAGTTGCGCAAATCAATATAGAAAGAGAGATACATAAAGCTGCCATCATGTCAGGACAGGACGGATAAAAAATCATGCTGATATTTTTTTCAATCCATGCACCATTTTCATCCGCAGCATCAGATGGTTGGGTGTCTATAAGAGATACCCTACCTCGGTTTAAACTATCAGAATAGGCCTGGGCTACCTATTCAGAGTTGGTAGGCTAGTGATGAACAAACCTGAATGTCCATATCGCGTATGCTCTTGATAGCTTTGATTTTCAATTGTTATTGCATTATTCAACAAATATATATTTTTTTAAACGGCTGAACAATAATAATAATAATAATAATAATAATAGTACTAATAATAATAATAATAATAATAATAAATTAATAATGATAATAACAATACGTGTTCTAATAATTAATAATAGTCTAGGCTTATAATTTATCTAATGTCAAAATGAAAAGTTAAAGTAACATGATTTTAATGTTGATAGGCATTACCTATTATTTTGAGATAAATAAATGGCAAGATTGTTTAATTATTTTGTAGCCTATTTATTTAGAAAAAGGTGACTGTCAAGAAACATCTCCATTGTTATTTACATATTCATTATCCAGTAGGCTACGTGGAGATACAGTGGAATGACGCCATACAAATTAATGGCTTAAATAATTGTACTTTTGCCAACCAAAATATTTGTTCCGTGATAACTAGCACATTTTCGGTAACAAGGTGCTACACTAGACATTTGTGCAAAGGTTTTCTCAAGTTCCGTTTGCATTTGAACAATGACATCGACATAAACTGAAGACCGATATATATTTGGGGGTATTTTAAGGCATGTATTCTTTAAGCACAAAATATTAATTCTAAAATCAACTATTGACAAAACATTTATATTTCTTAAAGAATTCCCAGCCTTTAAATTGAAATATAGTATGTTTTCTTCCTTACAAACAAGTGGTATGAAGCATGTTACATAATTGTATCAATTATTATAATTTAAAAGCTAGTATAAAAAGTCTACAGCGCTCTCTAAAATTATTATCACATAGGATGCATTATCAGGATTTAAAATGACAAAATACCAAATAGAATCACAACATAATAAATTGTTTAAAATACTTCATGTTATTATTACAATACACAAATTGCAGACATTCGAGGACAACACAAAACAATTTTGAGGTTATTACAAGACAATTAGGCTACAACGAATCCTGAATAGGCTAAACCTTTGAGGACAAAATTGTCCCTTTCCGAACTCAACTCATAACCTTTCCGACTCCATCGGTTGCAATAGACACGCTCCACAGTCTGAACCGCCCGCGGCACATACAATAGGCTACCAAACATACATACTGTAATCTCTGTTCCGGTCAGGCAGTCTCCCATTTTTAGAAATGCTGCTTAAAATCTCTGTGCCGTCGTCTTCTTATATGGAGACTTAATTTGAGTCTTTCATTCAGCGGCAGTCCTCGTGCAGGTGGCGGATCTGTGAATACTGCGCCGATTCAATGGCACAGCCTCAGTCTTAGTCGAGTACCGTATAATTAATTTTAAGTTACTAGGAGCACCATATCATTACGGACAGAATAGAAAAGTGTGTCACCAAAACAGCTGATTTGCATACAGATCTCTGTCCTTCAGTGTTGCCAATATTGCGGGTTATCTGATTTGATTACAACAACAACAACAAAAAAGAAAAACACATATAAGAACAACTCTCATACAGATCATGAAAATATAGCTTCGGGTGATGGTTTGTTTTGTGGATGCTGGCTTGTCCAAATTACGTTGAAATTCTAGCCAATCTAATATGCCAGCTATCTTTACCCGAATTTAAAACATGTGTAGGACTGTGTGATTTTGCATTGTAGAGCATCGACGAAATAATAAATAAAAGCAATGTTAATCAAATATGATCACAGTGTAAATATAAATTATGATACCTGCTCTCACTTTTGTGGGAGTACAGCACCATCTTGCTTAAAGATAAGTAATGGCTTCTCTGTGAAGACAATGCACATACAGTGTTCTACTGGCCCCTGGCGGCGGAACAGAAGCGATGCATCTGATACGGGTTAAACACTCCCCCAAGAGTTCACTCCCCTTCGTGAAAACGAAACTAAAAACTAGGCCAGTTTGGGATCTGTTTGAAATTCGAACAATGCTGAATGCGACTCAAGATTAAACGACGAACATCGATAAAATAGATTACTCGGGCAAAGACAATATAGCCTAGATTCTTTTCTCCTGTAGACTGCAGAAGTAGAAGTAGCGACCCCGGGAAAGGGAAAGTTAGTTCGCTCTTCCTCATAGCAACGAAGAACGCACAACAAAGTACTTGCGCTATGGCAAATGCGCCATTGAAAGAGGTATGTGTACCCTCATCTAAAATTAAGAAAAAACAACATGCTAATCTAGCCTGTATGAAATAGTATTTATAGTTAAAACACATTTTAAAACATACTCATTACATTTCAACTTACTCACTTATGTAATCTTAGGATTTCCCAAATTATACACAGTGTAGCTACAGTGGACGTAGTTGTGGACAGTTTTGGCCTGTCAACCTCTATGGTAGACCAGGGCTGTGTTTCCCTAAAGCATCGGAGTGCTAATATCATCTTAATTACATTGAAACTAAATGGACGAAAGATGATTTTAGTGCTACCATGCTTTTGGGAAACCCAGCACAGACCAATTACCGCATGGTAGGGTGTAGTTGTTAATCAATATGCAGGTGGCAACCAGTTTTAGTCACACTGTAAAAAAAAAAAAATCAATCTACACACAATACCCCATAATGACAATACAAAACCCGGTTTTTAGACATTTTAGCAAATGTATTAAAAATAAAAAACGGAAATATCACATTTACATAAGTATTCAGACCCTTTACTCAGTACTTTGTTGAAGCACCTTTGGCAGCAATTACAGCCTTGAGTCTTCCTGGGTATGACACTACAAGCTTGGCACACCTGTATTTGGGGAGTTTCTCCCATTCTTCTCTGCAGATCCTCTCAAGCGCTGTCAGGTTGGATTGGAGGCGTTGCTGCACAGCTATTTTCCGGTCTCCAAAGATGTTCGATCGGGTTCAAGTCCGGGCTCTGGCTGATCTCTCTGTACTTTGCTATGTTCATCTTTCCCTCGATCCTGACTAGTCTCCCAGTCCCTGCCGCTGAAAAACATCCCCACAGCATGATGCTGCCACCATTGTGCTTCACCGTAGTGATGGTGCCAAGTTTCCTCAAGACGTGATGCTTGGCAATCAGGCCAAAGAGTTCAATCTTGGTTTGTGCCTTTTACTGAGGAGTGGCTTCCGTCTGGCCACTCTACCATAATGGCCTGATTGGTAGAGTGTTGCAGAGATGGTTGTTCTTCTGGAAGGTTCTCCCATCTCCACAGAGGAACTCTGGAGCTCTGTCAGAGTGACCATCGGGTTCTTGGTCACCTCCCTGACCAAGGCCCTTTTCCCCCAATTGCTCAGTTTGGCCGGGCGGCCAGCTCTAGGAAGAGTCTTGGTGGTTCCAAACTTCTTCCATTTAAGAGTGATAGAGGCCACTGTGTTCTTGGGGACCTTCAATGCTGCAGACATTTTTTGGTACCCTTCCCCAGATCTGTGCCTCGACACAATCCTGTCTCGGAGATCTACGGACAATTCTTTCGACCTCTTAGCTTGGTTTTTACTCTGACATGCACTGTGGGACCTTATATAGACAGGTGTGTGCCTTTCCAAATCATGTCCAATCAATTGAATTTACCACAGGTGGACTCCAATCAAGTTGTAGAAACATCTCAAGGATGATCAATGGAAACAGGACGCACCTGAGCTCAATTTCGAGTCTCATAGCAGAGGGTCTGAAAACGTTTATTTTTAAAACATTTGCAAACATTTCTAAAAACCTGTTTTCGCTTTGTCATTATGGGGTATTGTGTGTAGATTGATGAGGGAAAACATTAAATCAATTTTAGAATAAGGTTGTAACGTAACAAAATGTGGAAAAAGGGAAGGGGTCTGAATACTTTCCGAATGCACTGTAACCAGTAATTATTATTCAACATGTCTTCCTTCACCTGTGATTTGAATTTACTGCCTCTTGGTTCTTCCTGCCGCCAATTCTCTGGCAACAGGACACGTTGAACATGAATGACTGTATAAATGAACATCCACAATGTCAACATGTGTCAAATATGCAAGTTGAAATGTTGTGTGTGTAACTATGTCCACAGCCTTTTTTTTTTTTTTTTTTTTTGGTAAGATGCCCAAATTAGAATTTTTAGTTGAATGAATATATGAGACAATTTGAGCGGACACATGTTTTTACGTTTGCAGAAATGTTGCCTAAGTTTTCTCATGTTGGAGCTAATTTTGGGCCAACAAAAAAAGTTAAGTTCAGGTAACACTTTGACCGAAAAGTTGAGTAAAAAAAAAAAAAGGCTGTGGAACCAGTTACTTAATAATATTTAGTTGAAACAACTATATGCATTTTACAGAGCATATAGGTCAAGCATGAGCCGTCTGTCATTGTACTATGTATGTCACACTAATTAGCATTTTGAACTTGCCCGAACCCTTGATGTCTTTCAGATATTTTCAGATGTTACTCTCACTGTAGATACAGACACTTTCAAAGAGCCTAACAGAGTGAAGTACATTCTCTCAGAATATGATGTCGCCGTTGCAAAAACCTCACATTACGAAGTGCAGGGATCATTTGAGGAAATGGAGGACCTGTTTGTGAAGATGTCAAGTCTAGACAGATCTGCTGCCCCCGCTCTCAGAGACAGTCCTCTTCCTCACCAACGGCGTCCTCAGTCACCTACTCCAGTGAAACCAGTGGAGGTAGTTGGGGCCGTTTGGGACTTTATCCAACAGAGATGCTCAAAGGAGTTGAAGAGAATCGAAGGGGAAGACATCTCAATTCATAAACCTCATGACAAAATGGTGGTGACCTTTCAAAGCCACAGAAAAGATCCGGTTCGGGCTCACTTCGCCAGAGAGCGCTTTGTCACGTTCTATCAGAGACTCGCCACAGATCTGCAAGTGAAGACTTACAGTTTGGATCCACAATACTACAAAAGCTTGCAGAGACATTTTCCAGAACTTTTGATTGAAGGAAGCCCCAGTAAAGACGAAGTTACAGTGACAGGGCGCTACATGCATATGGTGATATTGGAGGATTTTCTATGGCGCGGTTACAGTTCCGCCGTGACATCACAACGACCCCTGACACCCCAGAGAGTTAGCGCCTCTGGTGCTACACGAAACAAGCAGTCAGACAAAGGAGAAGAAGAGTCGTGTCCGATTTGTCTGGACACCATTAAAGATCAAAACAAGGAGACGTTGGAATGTAAACACTCGTTCTGTAGAAGCTGTCTGGCGCAGGCGTTCAAGACCAAACCTGTCTGTCCAACCTGTGGGGCAGTCTATGGGCAATTGAAGGGGACGCAACCAAAGGGCGGTACTATGACTGTCACTAAGGAAAGGTCTTCTTTGTCTGGATATGAGAATTATGGAACAATCGTGATTCAGTACCTCATTCCAAGTGGAACACAGAAGGTAAGCAACTAAAACATACAAACTAAGTATACAAACTACATACAAAGCCACTATTCTACCATGGTACATAAAATACACAGCACTGCTAGTTTTCATCCTTCCTAGCGAACGTCCTTCCTTCAGCGAGGCGCGATGCCCAGAATCACAGATTCTACTAATCACCTTGCATCCCAAGCACCCACCCTTTTTTTTTATGTGATCAAGATGAGCCAATCTACACAAAGCCTTGCTCAGGTCTACCCTCTTATGTTGTACTATTACTGACTGTCACATAGGAGGAGCATCCCAACCCAGGTCAGACTTACCAGGGTGCATCACGTACAGCGTATCTCCCAGACTCCTCGGAGGGCAGGAATGTTCTGGCGCTCCTGAAGAGGGCCTTCGACCAGCGACTCACGTTCACTGTTGGCCGATCTTCCACCACAGGCGTGGAAAACGTCGTCACGTGGAACGATATCCACCACAAAACCTCAAAATACGGAGGCACCAGTTGGTAAGTACAGTATGGACGGATGCACTCCATTCTGTAGAAATTCTGCACAGTTACATATTGTGATACATTACTTACATGCATAATGAGCTGATTAGAAGAGATTATGAACTGGGTGGTTCGAGCCCTGAATGCTGATTGGCTGACAGCCGTGGTATATAAGACCGTATACCACGTGTATGACAAAACATTTATTTGTACTTCCTCTAATTACGTTGGTAGCCAGTTTATAATAGCAATAAGGCACCTTGGGGGTTTGTGGTATATAGCCAATATACTGAACCACGGCTAAGGGCTGTATCCAGGCACCCCCGCATTGCATCGTGCCGCAGAACAGCCCTTAGCCGTGGTATCTCGGCCAGGGGAGGCTGCTGAGGGGAGGACTGCTTATAATAATGGCTGGAACCGAGTGAATGGAATGGCACCAAACACATGGAAACCACGGAAACCACGTATTTGATGTGTTTGATACCATTCCACCTATTTCGCTCCAGCCATTACCATGAGCCCGTCCTCCCCAATTAAGGTGTCACCAACCTCCTGTGATATTGGCCATATACCACACCCCCTCGGTCCTTGTTGTTTCATTATAAGGTGGTTATACATTCTCATAGCATGTCTTTCAATGTCATTATAACTGCAGGATAGAAGTGTTACCTTATATTCCATTACAGGAAGTACAAACTCAAAAGGACAGTAGTTGTGAACTAAAGGTTTTGTTTTTGTATCTATGGTTACCCAGCTATGGTTACCCTGACCCTGACTACCTGAGCCGTGTACAGGATGAACTGAAGGTCAAAGGAATCTATTGACATCTCTTCTGCATGTCTCACGACTACCGATATTTTTTATTTTATTTATTTATTGAACAATGACGGCTTACACCGGCCAATCCCGGACGACGCTGGGCCAATTGTGCGCCGCCCTATGGGACTTGGTTGTGATACAGCCTGGAATCGAACCAGGGGGTCTGTAGTGACGCCTCAAGCACTGAGATGCAGTGCCTTAGACCACTGCGCCACTCGGGAGCACAAGCGCAAGAATGAAGGAAAAAGAGGCCACAAATACAACCCAATGTTGCTGATATTACATTTGTGAAATGAAGATTTATGTTCCCCCGCAAGAAAACCAAATAATGTCACTCAAACAGAAGGGGAACTAACAGAGTCACTGACAACCAGAACTAAACAGGTTTTAGGAGGGGTTCTGAAAGACACTCATGGGGGTGTCCACTGAAAGTGTCCACAACTGGAAAACTTAAGACACCCACCATGAGACCCACTAAAGTTGCCCAAGAAGAGGCAAACAAAGGAAAAACCCAAACCAAACTGAAAGACAGGAAGCAAACCAACAAGGTGAGCAAACCAGGGACGATCAAACAAAGGATTGTCTTTCTAGAAATCAAATAGGGAGAGTCAACTAAAGGTGTTAACCCTCCACATCTCTCAAGACAACTGGAGGTGTTAACCCTCCACATCTCTCAAGACAACTGGAGCACTGGGCCAGCACAGGTAAAACACCTTCCCACTAACGAGATGGCAACCAGCACAGGTGTAACACATACTAACGACTAATCGGTGTGCCCTATGTGATAACGTGCTAAAAGTCTAACCTCAAAACAGAAATAGAAAATTAGCCATTTCATATTCTAAGTTTATAAAACACTCCAAAAAAAACAACACTAAGAAACACCACAGAGTTTAAGATATAATACATTCAGTATAAACAGGAAAATAAAATAAAGAACCTCCCACCCCCCTAACCAACATGACTCCTCCCTCATCCTCCCACTCCACCCCCTAACCAACATGTCTCCTCCCCCATCCTCCCACTCCACCCCCCTAACCAACATGTCTCCTCTCCCAACCTCCCACTCCATTCCCCCAACATGTCTCCTCTCCCAACCTCCCAATCCATTCCCCCAACATGTCTCCTCTCCCAACCTCCCATCCCATTCCCCCAACATGTCTCCTCCCCCAACCTCCCATCCCATTCCCTCAACCAGCCAACATGTCTCCTCCCCCAACCTCCCATCCCATTCCCCCAACATGGCTCCTCCCCCAACCTCCCATCCCATTCCCTCAACCAGCCAACATGTCTCCTCCCCCAACCTCCCATCCCATTCCCCCAACATGGCTCCTCCCCCAACCTCCCATCCCATTCCCTCAACATGTCTCCTCCCCCAACCTCCCATCCCATTCCCCCAACATGTCTCCTCCCCCAACCTCCCATCCCATTCCCCCAACATGTCTCCTCCCCCAACCTCCCATCCCATTCCCCCAACATGTCTCCTCCCCCAACCTCCCATCCCATTCCCCCAACATGGCTCCTCCCCCAACCTCCCATCCCTCAACATGTCTCCTCCCCCAACCTCCCACCCCATTCCCCCACCATGTCACCTCCCCCCAACCTCCCACCCCATTCCCCCAACCTGTCTCCTCCCCCAACCTCCCATCCCATTCCCCCAACCTGTCTCCTCCCCAACCTCCCACCCCATTCCCCCAACATGTCTCCTCCCCCAACCTCCCATCCCATTCCCCCAACATGTCTCCTCCCCCAACCTCCCACCCCATTCCCCCAACATGTCTCCTCCCCCAACCTCCCACCCCATTCCCCCGTCTCCATCCAACCCCGACTCTCAGAAACCACTGAGTAAAAAAAAGGAACAAATTGTGGTTTCTCAGCAAGTTTGAATTTATTGAACATAAACAAGTACATAAGCTACTATTTTCATAACTTGTAAAAAAGCCCAAAAAGCTGAATTAATTTGCAAAATAAAATAAAAAGCCATAAAAACTCAATACAGAAAATATTTGGCCTCCTTGTTGTGACAATATATACAGTCATATATTACCATTAATTCATATCTATAAGGCACCAAATGCTAAGTAGCATAATAACACAAATATTTTCTATTCACCAAAACACCAAAAGACATCCAGATCAAAGAAACTCACAAAGCAGATCAAATCAAATATACTGCTGACCATCATATTGCTCGTCTCCAACTGATTCACATTTCCTGTGAAACGTTTGACTGTAAAGCTTGTACTTTTGAGATCCCTTTAAAAAAAAAATTGACAATCATGTCATCACTTGGTGCACTTGATTATGCTTCCAGTACCAACAATATACCCTTGGTGTTCCTCCCGCTTTCATTAGATACGTAACACTGCGGCACTGTCGAGATATCCTATAGGGTCACCTATAATGTTAGGATACAGTTCATGAAAAATATTAGTAACAAAATGTCTTTGGAACCAATGTCCACCCAGTGCTTCACTGTATATTATTGACATGTTCGTATTACTATTCCAAGACTGATATTAAAACAATATTAAATATATGTGATTTGGTCACCTGAATTATGGAATAAAATGAACAATGTGTTGCTAATTACTACCCGTCTTCTGTGTTTATATTCGTTACAATAACCTTACGTATATTCAGTAGTCATTCATTTTGTTTTTATTTTAAAAAATATGACCTGTGACAGTACTGTTTTCTTAGGAAACTTAAGACTTGCATCATGTACAGGGTGTTTTTTTATTTTTATTTAACCTTTATTTAACTAGGCAAGTCAGTTAAGAACAAATTCTTATTTACAACGACGGCCTACACCGGCCAAACCCGGACGACGCTGGGCCAATTGTGCGCCGCCCTATGGGACTCCCAATCACGGCCGGTTGTGATACAGCCTGGAATCGAACCAGGGGGTCTGTAGTGACGCCTCAAGCACTGAGATGCAGTGCCTTAGACCGCTGCACCACTCGGGAGCCCAGGACCGGACCGCTGCGCCACTCGGGAGGGTTGGTGTCCTCTATGGCCCAATGTCAACGTCTACTTTACACCAGCATCATCCTTAGAGATATCATTTACACTGAACACAAGGGGTAGTATACATTCATCTGAGCTCTGATTGGTCTTTTTAAAAGCACATCTGAGCTCTGATTGGTCTTTTGTCTTTTTAAAAGCACAACTGAGCTCTGATTGGTCTTTAAAATCACAGCAATATATAAACAACAAGCAGCAAACACCCAGGCTTAGTACGTATAGAAACCCCCATACCCCCTAACGAAAGTAACCACTTTAAAATGTTCTTTAAATTGGGGCATCGATTATACATCCACCCATATTTTTAAATCAAAGTACAAATATCAATCTGAAATGTTTTACTGTTTATTTTTATAAGTATTAAACTGGTTGTGAGTGCTAAGTGCGTGGAACTTCTGAATTGGCAGATGGATCACATCCATACTGTAATGTGTATAAATTCTTGACTGGAATCAAAGTCTTTGCCATTGGTGAACAAGTAGACCACCCCCTATAAAAGGAGAAGCAACCAATATATACATTTCTTGGTATGATATGTGAAGGGAAACTGATCTACTTCCTAAATTAACACGGCATACATTTCTGCTCATTTCGCGACGACATCTCAGTCAGAGCTCTCACCCCTTTTGGGCTACGCACCATTTTAAAGGTAATGTTACCACGGTCGAGGAGATGATGGCCTTCTAAGTAAACACTGCCGATGTCGGCTCAAATGGGAAATTACCTTTAAAAAAATGTCAACCGCTCTAAAATGCAGATCATCCCCAGTCCCGATTTGAATCCTGGTCTTTTGTGTCTATTCTACTCAATGTATTGCTGTGTGCCTCAGTCTACATGAAATGGTTACCAATATATGATATATATATATATATATATATATATCCACACACACACACCATATACAACCATATACAACCGCCCAAAATAATCAAGTGGAAAATCAGTTGTAGTTTTTCAGGTTACGACACCAGTTGTTGGAACAAATATATGACATTAAGAAACAGTGCATATTAACACCTTCAGTACACATTGTACTTTAAAAAAAGGTACAACTCTATAGTAAACAAGGTCAGATAGATGGGACCTTTTTCCTAGACAGGAAGGAACTTTTTCCTAGACAGGAAGGAACTTTTTCCTCATTATTTCCCCCCCAAAAAATGTTAAATGTTCTCTACAAAAAAAAAAAAAAATCGTCCCAAATCAGTCAAACTGAGAGACGTACTGTCTTCAGAAAAACACGATTCTTCATAGTATTTAGAAACTTAGCAAAATGTGTTCTTCCCTAAAGAGTTTTGTTGTGTTTCAGTTGTAAATATGTGTGGTGGGTTTCACTGTAGCTATTTCTTTTGAGGATTTCAAACTTTTGCTAAGTAGTTTTTTGTGTTCTCCGCGTTTGGTGGGAAGGAAACGCCTCCGCAGCTCAAAAATCCAGCTTTGAGCTGGGAGGCTGGAGGAGAGGCAGCAGTATTGCAGCGGTTGTTCATCCCGTGGCGGTCTGGTTGCCGATGACTCGTAGGATCTCTCGATGGATGCCAGCGTCTTGTGTGTTGATGCTCGTATCTCCCACCTGGCCATCTTCATAACTGGACCAGAAGAATCACACAAGAACATCACTTCTCAGTACCAACCGCCAGAACATCACTTCTCAGTACCAACCGCCAGAACAAATTCCCTGTGGGAACTCTAGCTATTAATTAAACTCTTGTAAAATGTCAAAAAGCTAAAATGTTTATTCACTAGTATTATCAAATACTGGTATGTTTGATTTCTTTGTGACAAACCTCTTTAAAGGACCTTAACCCTTAGTCTGCTACCTTAACCCCTAGTCTGCTACCTTAACCCCTTAGTCTGCTACCTTAACCCCTAGTCTGCTACCTAACCCCTAGTCGCTCTAACCTATCTTATAACCCCTAGTCTGCTACCTTAACCCTAGTCTGTCCCTACCTAACCCTTAGTCTGCTACCTTAACCCCTAGTCTGCTACCTTAACCCCTAGTCTGCTACCTTAACCCCTAGTCTGCTACCTTAACCCCTAGTCTGCTACCTTAACCCCTTAGTCTGCTACCTTAACCCCTAGTCTGCTACCTTAACCCCTAGTCTGCTACTAACCCATAGTCTGCTACCTTAACCCCTAGTCTGCTACCTTAACCCCTTAGTCTGCTACCTTAACCCCTTAGTCTGCTACCTTAACCCTAGTCTGCTACCTTAACCCATAGTCTGCTACCTTAACCCCTAGTCGCTACCTTAACCCCTTAGTCTGCTACCTTAACCCTAGTCTGCTACCTTAACCCCTTAGTCTGCTACCTAACCCCTTAGCTGCTACCTTAACCCCTAGTCTGCTACCTTAACCCCTAGTCTGCTACCTTAACCCCTAGTCTGTACCTACCCCTAGTCTGCTACCTTAACCCCCTAGTCCTTGCTACCTTAACCCAAGTCTGCTACCTTACCCTAGTCTGCGACCTTAACCCCTTAGTCTGCTACCTTAAACCCCTAGTCTGCTACCTTAACCCCTAGTCTGCTACCTTACCCCTTGTCTTGCTACCTTAACCCCTTAGTCTGCTACCTTAACCCCTTAGTCTGCTACCTTAACCCCTAGTCTGCTACCTTAACCCCTAGTCTGCTACCTTAACCCCTAGTCTGCTACCTTAACCCCTAGTCTGCTACCTTAACCCCTTAGTCTGCTACCTTAACCCCTAGTCTGCTACCTTACCCCTAGTTGCTACTTAACCCCTAGTCTGCTACCTTAACCCCTAGTCTGCTACCTTAACCCCTAGTCTGCTACCTTAACCCATAGTCTGCTACCTTAACCCCTAGTCTGCTACCTTAACCCCTAGTCTGCTTAACCCTATTAACCCTAGTCTGCTACCTTAACCCCTTAGTCTGCTACCTTAACCCCTTAGTCTGCTACCTTAACCCCTTAGTCTGCTACCTTAACCCCTTAGTCTGCTACTTAACCCCTTAGTCTGGCTACCTTAACCCCTAGTCCCTGCTACCTTAACCCCTTAGTCTGCTACCTTAACCCCTTAGTCTGCTACCTTCACCCCTAGTCTGCTACCTTAACCCCTAGTCTGCTACCTTAACCCCTTAGTCTGCTACCTTAAACCCCTAGTCTGCTACCTTAACCCCTAGTCCTGCTACCTTAACCCCTAGTCTGCTACCTTAACCCCTTAGTCTGCTACCTTAAACCCCTACCCTAGTTCTGCTACCTTAAACCCCTAGTCTGCTACCTTAACCCCTAGTCTGCTACCTTAACCCCTTAGTCTGCTACCTTAACCCCTAGTCTGCTACCTTAACCCTTATCTGCTACCTTAACCCCTAGTCTGCTACCTTAACCCCTAGTCCTGCTACCTTAACCCTAGTCTGCTACCTTAACCCCTAGTCTGCTAACCTTAACCCCTAGTCTGCTACCTTAACCCCTAGGATGCTACCTTAACCCCTAGGATGCTACCTTAACCCCTAGTCTGCTACCTTAACCCCTAGTCTTCTACCTTAACCCCTAGTCTGCTACCTTAACCCCTAGTCTGCTACCTTAACCCCTAGTCTGCTACCTTAACCCCTAGTCTGCTACCTTAACCCCTAGTCTGCTACCTTAACCCCTAGTCTGCTACCTTAACCCCTAGTCTGCTACCTTAACCCCTAGTCTTCTACCTTAACCCCTAGTCTGCTACCTTAACCCCTAGTCTGCTTTGATGAATTGGAGACCACTGTAAGGGATGCCCAATAAAGGGCATACCGTCCAATAACTACTGTAAGGGATACTGTTTAGTCCTACTTACACAAAGAAGAAGCGTGTACAGACGTGGTCGGTATTGGGAACGACCCAGATGTCTCCATGTTTGTGCAGATCAGGGGATGTGATTACTGGAAGAGGACATAAAGAGTTTATTTTCCAAAACACTATATATCCATTTTCAGAAATGTTAGTAAATGAGCATTTATTGTTTTTAAAGAAATTATTAATAACATCGGTGTGTTTTTTTCACTATCTAATCATGGCATGGTGTTGTTCAATGACAGACGTGTTTGTTTAAAATCTATCACTTGGTTTCATTTCAGAGACACAAATGATCATGTTGTTTTTGCGAAATTCTAAACACTATATCCGCCTCACTCTCAGAGAAATTAGTAGTACTGCTAGGTTTTACACAGTCAAATGGATCAAATAGCTAGCTTTTTAATAAAAGAACTGTACCAATTATACATTTGTGACATATTTAAAAAAATTATTCAACACAGTATTGAGATCTGCATGCAAAACACTTGACATTTGTCATTTAGCAGAAGCGTTTATCCTGAGTTATTTACAGTTTGTGCATTCATCTTAAGATAACCACATGTCACAGTCAATTATACAGGAAACGAACATTCCATTCCAGCTAAACAATGGATCTATACAGATGTAGGATCTTAATTTGATCACTTTTGTTGCTGAGAATTAATTATAATCCACATAATTCACATTTCCTGTTGCTGTAGGATTATTTTCCTGATGTAGTTAAACTGGCTCAAATTAAGATCCTACATACATCTGTAGCGTTTTGTGAAAAAATACATTTGAATACATATTTGAAATCTATGAATAAAAATATCTGAGAATAACAATACTGCACACACACACACACGTACCCATAAGCAATAATTTCTGATAAAAAAACAAATGTGAAAAATTGGTGGATATAGCATTTTGGAAATAAACTTCACATACACATATATTAACAGAGTTTACATACGCATATATTAACAGAGTTTACATACACATATATTAACCGAGTTTACATACACATATATTAACAGCGTTTACATACACATATATTAACAGCGTTTACATACACATATATTAACAGAGTTTACATACACATATATTAACAGCGTTTACATACACATATATTAACAGAGTTTACATACACATATATTAACAGCGTTTACATACACATATATTAACAGCGTTTACATACACATATATTAACAGCGTTTAAATACACATATATTAACAGCGTTTACATACACATATATTAACAGCGTTTACATACAGTGGCTTCAGAAAGTGTAGCCACCTATTCCACATTTTGTTGTGTTACAGCCTGAATTCAAAATGTATTAAATCGATGTGTTTCCCCTCACTCATCTACACACACAATGACAAAGTGAAAACATGTTTTTAAAAATGTTTGCAAATGTGTTACAAATTAAAGAAATAAATATCTCATTTACATAAGTATTCATACCCCTGAGTCAATACTTTGTAGAAGCACCTTTGGCAGTGATTACAGCTGTGAGTCTTTCTGGGTAAGTCTCTAAGAGCTTTCCACACCTGGATTGTAAGATATTTGCCCATAATTATTTTCAAAATTCTTCAAGTTCTGTCAAATTGGTTGTTGATCATTGCTAGACAACCATTTTCAGGTCTTGCCATAGATTTTCAAGTAGATTTAAGTCCAAATTGTAACTTGGCCACTCAGGAACATTCACTTTCTTCTTGGTAAGCAACTCCAGTGTATATTTGGCCATGTGTTCAGCTGAAAGGTGAATTCATATCCCAGTGTCTGGTGGAAATCAGCTTGAACCAGGTTTTCCTCTAGGATTTTGCCTGTGTTTTAGCGCCATCCAGTTTCTTTTTTATCCTGAAAAACTCCCCAGTCCTTAACGATTACAAGCATACCCATAACATGATGCAGCCACCACTGCTTGAAAATATGGAGAGTGGTATACAGTAATGTGTTGGATTTGATTTCCCCCAAACATAACACTTTATATTCAGGACAAAAAGTTTATTGCTTTGCCACATTTTTTGCAGTATTACTTTAGTGCCTTGTTGCAAACAGGATGCATGTTTTAGAATATTTTTATTCTGTAAATGCTTCCTTTTCACTCTGTCATTTAGGTTAGTATTGTTGAGTAACTACAATGTTGTTTCTCCATCCTCAGTGTTCTCCTATCACAGCCATTAAACTCTCTAACTGTTTTAAAGTCACCATTGGCCTCAGCCTGAAATCCCTGATCGGTTTCCTTCCTCTCCGGCAACTGAGTTAGGAAGGGCACCTGTATCTTTGTAGTGACTGGGTGTATTGATACACCATCCAAAGTGTAATTAATAACTTCATCATGCTTTTATTTTTACCAATCTACCCCTAACCCTAACCCTGGTCTTTGTAGTTGAATCAGTGTTTGAAATCCACTGCGTGACTGCAGGACCTTACAGATAATTGAATGTGGGTGGTACAGAGATGAGGTATTCATTCACAAATCATGTTAAACACTATTATTGCACACAGAGTGAGACCATGCAACTTATTATGTGACTTGTTAAACCCATTTCTACTCCTGAACTTATTTAGGCTTGCCATAACAAAAGGGGTTGAATACTTATTGACACAAGATGTTTCAGCTTTTAATTTTGTATTAAAATTTAGACACATTTCAAAAACCTAATTCAAACTTTGACATTATGGGGTATTGTGTGTAGGCCAGAGACAGAACCCTAAATGTTATCCATTTTAAATTCAGGCTGTAACAACAAAATGTGTAAAAAGTCCAGGGGGTGTGAATACTTTCTGAAGGCCCTGTTCGTGTTATCAGTTAATGTCTCCATGGTTGTTCCAGCCCAGAGCATATACGTACCTTCACATAAGGCTATGCACTTCAGGTTCCGACTTTGCAAAAACTGGGGCTGCTGTCCTTTCTTTGTTGACTGCAAAAGGACACAACTCTAGTGAACACAACGTTCATATCCCCAGTTTACACCAGTTAACACCTTACAGAAGTTTGGAGAAATGTCATTATGATCACCTGCAAATGTAAGTTGGTCTTGTTTGTAGCAGTTTCGTCCTTCGAAGCAACTTTCTGCTGCTTTTTGTTCATCCCTAAATGGAGAGATGTTATAATAACAATCAGAACAGGCACTGCTCTGTCAGTATTCAGAACAGGCACTGCTCTGTCAGTATTCAGAACAGGCACTGCTCTGTCAGCCTGCAGAACAGGCACTGCTCTGTCAGTATTCAGAACAGGCACTGCTCTGTCAGTATTCAGAACAGGCACTGCTCTGTCAGTATTCAGAACAGGCACTGCTCTGTCAGTATTCAGAACAGGCACTGCTCTGTCAGTATTCAGAACAGGCACTGCTCTGTCAGTATTCAGAACAGGCACTGCTCTGTCAGTCTGCAGAACAGGCACATTTTCAAAAAACATGAGAGTAATGAATCCAAAACGAGTTTTAATATGGCAGCATCTACCTGAATTTATTGTGCAGACAGAACATGTCGGCCACAGTCTCTCGGTTCACATACTGCAGAGTTCAACTGGTACATTGTAGCTTTACTTACTCCGGTAGAACAACAGACTCAGTCACACAATTTGTAATTCATTCCACATATTAAAAAGGCTCAGCAATATGACGTAGACGCACAAAGTAAACAGCATAGTGGGTCAATTTCCGCAAAACTAAGCCTTGAAGCGCGAGTCTAAACTTCTCCGCTGTTTTGGTGCCCTGGCTACCACGTTGTAACAGCGGGAAGCGAACCCGTGAACCACAGATACTGTGTGTGTAACAGCGAAGTCTTGCGTCTCGCTCATCGCAATATCTGCGGTGCTGCTCGTGGCAACGTCATTTAGCTGAGTCTACCTTTAAAATGAATTACAAAGTTCCTGTAGATAGGTTTTCTGGGTACCTGAGTAACCAAAGGATATGCTTGACATTGGGCTGATATAGATTCCACTCCCATAGATGGCGCCGTGGAGCTGCCGACAGACAACCAAACTATTAGAGGTGTATTAGAAGTCTGTAGGCGTGACATGCAATATATATATATATATACGGTAACAGTCAGGGCTGGGACGGTACCAGTATCGCGACAAAACACGAAGCAGATGTAACTTCTTTAACCCTTAATTTGGAAACAAACATGTTGTCATCCAGAGTCACATGTATTTATTTTCCAAGCTGTAGCACACATATTACATACAGCAGGTTTTTTTTAAAAGGACCAAAGAGTTCGTTCTGCTTTTGTGTTTTCATTTTTTGCGATACTGGTATCATCACAGCCCTAGTGACTACTGTTTGCGTTAAGGTCTTGATAAGCAAAGTGTATCCTTTGAGACGTAAGGGTTACATTTACTCAGACCCAGCCTACAGTTTACCATACAAAGTAGTCTCTTGGTCAGGCAGTTGAAATCACAGATTGTGCTTTTAAAAAGGCATATTATAAACAATTCTTGGATGTTTTTTTTTTTTTTACCTGAAGTCTTGTGTTGGATGCAACCACCAAACCGTTCCTCAAAATGGAGTGCCAATTCTCTATGTGAGAACCACTGAACAGGGAAAAGGCCATTAACTATCCAATACACATCTACTGTATTAATCAAATTAAAGTCATTCTCCCCACGCAAAATAGCAGTCATTTTAAAAACATGTTCTGAAACATACTGTGTAAGATTGAAGTACTTAAAACAAGTGTAAGATGAAAGTAGTTCAAACATTGAGTGCACATCACGAGAAAGCACATGGATGTGTACGATACAATGGAAGGCCAGCTAACATGCCAACATATTCTGATTTTTATTTTTAAAAAAAAGTTAAACTTGAAATGAGCATGGTCTAATTGACTCAACAACCAAAAACACATATCTATATTTAGCTTTCTTCTATATTTAGCTTTCATATATATATATGATATGTACATACTGGAAAGCGAAGGTACTCCCAAAGAGGGTCTTGGCAGCTCGGAAGTTGGACTCTTTGGCAGGAGGACTGCTGAGCAGAAGAAACTGGTGTGGCGTGTGCATGAACCTCAGTTGCTGCATTCGTGACAGAGAGACACACGGCTTTATTGGAGGTGTCCCAATTGGCAATCTTTTCCCTATGTAGTGCAGGTCAAAAGTAGCGCACTACGTAGGGATATATAGGGACTAGGATGCCCTTTGGGACGTCACACATTAACTCCTCTCCTCTCCTGTTCTCTCCGTTCTTCACAACTCTATAAATCAACCTGTCTTATGACTTCACAGGAACACCCAGAAAAGACTGAATGCCGGACGAGAAAATACCATCAGAGAGATATTACATCAAGTCTAGGGAGATTAAGGTTAAGACAGACTTAATAACCATAAATATAGAGATATTATCATCTGGGGTTGATTTTTTTTTTATATGTCGTTTTGCAGTAACTCTAGTTCTATCTAATCTCCTCTACGGCCAAACAAAAGCATTTGAATTATGTATAAAACTCACTCTGGTAGCTGGTAGTTTGACGATGTGTGATCTGTTACTGGATATCACCCTAGAGAGAAAAACAAAAAACCGGTTGCTTTAGACATTACAGTTTGCAATACAATACCTCCAGCTGCTAGATCGACCTGTTGTTAGATACTGAAGTAGCTGTCATTCACACTTTCTGTGGTGTTGAATGTATCAATCAACTGTCTCATGGCCTGGTCTGCCTGTACATTCAATATGTTTCCGACTACTGATTTGAATTGCAGGCTGACAATGGCCTAACAGCCGAAAACATTGGGTTTTTCCTCCTGTAAAATAACTTTCAAACTCTTTTTCGATTGCGGACTCGTGACACTAAATCTTAGGCTATTTATGAAAATAATTAGGTTTAGTTGGGAAAATTAAGTAAACGGTTTCTTGCCATGGCAGTGAAAGGTTTCTTACCATGGCAGTGAGGGGTTTCTTACCATGGCAGTGAGGGGTTTCTTACCATGGCAGTGAGGGGTTTCTTACCATGGCAGTGAGGGGTTTCTTACCATGGCAGTGAGGGGTTTCTTACCATGGCAGTGAGGGGTTTCTTACCATGGCAGTGAGGGGATTCTTACCATGGCAGTGAAAGGATTCTTACCATGGCAGTGAAAGGATTCTTACCATGGCAGTGAGGGGATTCTTACCATGGCAGTGAGGGGATTCTTACAATGGCAGTGAGGGGATTCTTACCATGGCAGTGAGGGGATTCTTACCATGGCAGTGAGGGGATTCTTACCATGGCAGTAAGGGGATTCTTACCATGGCAGTGAGGGGTTTCTTACCATGGCAGTGAAATGTTTCTTACCATGGCAGTGAGGGGATTCTTACCATGGCAGTGAAAGGTTTCTTGCCATGGCAGTGAGGGGATTCTTACCATGGCAGTGAGGGGTGTCTTACCATGGCAGTGAAAGGATTCTTACCATGGCAGTAAAATGTTTCTTACCATGGCAGTGAGGGGATTCTTACCATGGCAGTGAGGGGTGTCTTACCATGGCAGTGAAGGATTCTTACCATGGCAGTGAAAGGATTCTTACCATGGCAGTGAAAGGATTCTTACCATGGCAGTAAAATGTTTCTTACCATGGCAGTGAGGGGATTCTTACCATGGCAGTGAGGGGTGTCTTACCATGGCAGTGAAAGGATTCTTACCATGGCAGTGAAAGGATTCTTACCATGGCAGTGAAAGGATTCTTGCCATGGCAGTGAGGGGTTTCTTACCATGGCAGTGAGGGGTTTCTTACCATGGCAGTGAGGGGTGTCTTACCATGGCAGTGAAAGGATTCTTACCATGGCAGTGAAAGGATTCTTACCATGGCAGTGAAAGGATTCTTACCATGGCAGTGAAAGGATTCTTACCATGGCAGTGAAAGGATTCTTACCATGGCAGTGAAAGGATTCTTACCATGGCAGTGAAAGGATTCTTACCATGGCAGTGAGGGGATTCTTACCATGGCAGTGAGGGGATTCTTACCATGGCAGTGAGGGGATTCTTACCATGGCAGTGAGGGGATTCTTACCATGGCAGTGAGGGGATTCTTACCATGGCAGTGAGGGGATTCTTACCATGGCAGTGAGGGCAGTGAGGGGATTCTTGCCATGGCAGTGAGGGGATTCTTACCATGGCAGTGAGGGGTTTCTTACCATGGCAGTGAGGGGTTTCTTACCATGGCAGTGAGGGGATTCTTGCCATGGCAGTGAGGGGTTTCTTACCATGGCAGTGAGGGGTTTCTTACCATGGCAGTGAGGGGTGTCTTACCATGGCAGTGAAAGGATTCTTACCATGGCAGTGAAAGGATTCTTACCATGGCAGTGAAAGGTTTCTTGCCATGGCAGTGAGGGGATTCTTACCATGGCAGTGAGGGGTGTCTTACCATGGCAGTGAAAGGATTCTTACCATGGCAGTGAGGGGATTCTTACCATGGCAGTAAAATGTTTCTTACCATGGCAGTGAGGGGATTCTTACCATGGCAGTGAGGGGATTCTTACCATGGCAGTGAGGGGATTCTTACCATGGCAGTGAGGGGATTCTTACCATGGCAGTGAGGGGATTCTTACCATGGCGTGAAGGATTCTTACCATGGCAGTGAGGGGTTTCTTACCATGGCAGTAAGGGGATTCTTACCATGGCAGTGAGGGGTTTCTTACCATGGCAGTGAAATGTTTCTTGCCATGGCAGTGAGGGGATTCTTACCATGGCAGTAAGGGGATTCTTACCATGGCAGTGAGGGGTTTCTTACCATGGCAGTGAAATGTTTCTTGCCATGGCAGTGAAGGGATTCTTACCATGGCAGTAAGTAGTTTCTTACCATGGCAGTGAGGGGATTCTTACCATGGCAGTGAGGGGATTCTTACCATGGCAGTGAGGGGTGTCTTACCATGGCAGTGAAATGATTCTTACCATGGCAGTGAGGGGATTCTTACCATGGCAGTGAGGGGATTCTTACCATGGCAGTGAAAGGTTTCTTGCCATGGCAGTGAGGGGATTCTTACCATGGCAGTGAGGGGTGTCTTACCATGGCAGTGAAAGGATTCTTACCATGGCAGTGAGGGGATTCTTACCATGGCAGTGAGGGGTGTCCTTAACCATGGCAGTGAAAGGAGTTCTTACCACATGGCAGTGAGGGGATTCTTACCATGGGGGGCAGTAAAATGTTTCTTACCATGGCAGTGAGGGGATTCTTACCATGGCAGTGAGGGGATTCTTACCATGGCAGTGAGGGGATTCTTACCATGGCAGTGAGGGGGGATCCTTACCATGGCATGGAGGGGATTCTTACCATGGCAGTGAAAGGATTCTTACCATGGCATGAGGGGTTTCTTACCATGGCAGTAGGGGATTCTACCATGGCAGTGAGGGGTTTCTTTACCATGGCATGAAATGTTTTCTTGCCATGGCATGAGGGGATTCTTACCATGGCAGTAAGGGGATTCTTACCATGGCAGTGAGGGGTTTCTTACCATGGCAGTGAAATGTTTCTTGCCATGGCAGTGAGGGGATTCTTACCATGGCAGTAAGTAGTTTCTTACCATGGCAGTGAGGGGATTCTTACCATGGCAGTGAGGGGATTCTTACCATGCCAGTGAGGGGTGTCTTACCATGGCAGTGAAATGATTCTTACCATGGCAGTGAGGGGATTCTTACCATGGCAGTGAGGGGATTCTTACCATGGCAGTGAAAGGTTTCTTGCATGGCAGTGAGGGGATTCTTACCATGGCAGTGAGGGGTGTCTTACCATGGCAGTGAAAGGATTCTTACCATGGCAGTGAAAGGATTCTTACCATGGCAGTGAAAGGTTTCTTGCCATGGCAGTGAGGGGATTCTTACCATGGCAGTGAGGGGTGTCTTACCATGGCAGTGAAAGGATTCTTACCATGGCAGTGAAAGGATTCTTACCATGGCAGTGAGGGGATTCTTACCATGGCAGTAAAATGTTTCTTACCATGGCAGTGAGGGGATTCTTACCATGGCAGTGAGGGGATTCTTACCATGGCAGTGAAAGGATTCTTGCCATGGCAGTGAGGGGATTCTTACCATGGCAGTGAGGGGATTCTTACCATGGCAGTGAGGGGTTTCTTACCATGGCAGTGAGGGGATTCTTACCATGGCAGTGAGGGGATTCTTACAATGGCAGTGAGGGATTCTTACCATGGCAGTGAGGGGATTCTTACCATGGCAGTGAGGGGATTCTTACAATGGCAGTGAGGGGATTCTTACCATGGCAGTGAGGGGATTCTTACCATGGCAGTGAGGGGATTCTTACCATGGCAGTGAGGGGATTCTTACCATGGCAGTGAGGGGATTCTTACCATGGCAGTGAGGGGATTCTTACAATGGCAGTGAGGGGATTCTTACCATGGCAGTGAGGGGATTCTTACCATGGCAGTGAGGGGATTCTTACCATGGCAGTGAGGGGATTCTTACCATGGCAGTGAGGGGATTCTTACCATGGCAGTAAGGGGATTCTTACCATGGCAGTGAGGGGTTTCTTACCATGGCAGTGAAATGTTTCTTGCCATGGCAGTGAGGGGATTCTTACCATGGCAGTAGTAAGTAGTTTCTTACCATGGCAGTGAGGGGATTCTTACCATGGCAGTGAGGGGATTCTTACCATGGCAGTGAGGGGTGTCTTACCATGGCAGTGAAATTATTCTTACCATGGCAGTGAGGGGATTCTTACCATGGCAGTGAGGGGATTCTTACCATGGCAGTGAAAGGTTTCTTGCCATGGCAGTGAGGGGATTCTTACCATGGCAGTGAGGGGTGTCTTACCATGGCAGTGAAAGGATTCTTACCATGGCAGTGAAAGGATTCTTACCATGGCAGTGAAAGGATTCTTACCATGGCAGTGAAAGGATTCTTACCATGGCAGTGAAAGGATTCTTACCATGGCAGTGAGGGGATTCTTGCCATGGCAGTGAGGGGATTCTTACCATGGCAGTGAGGGGATTCTTACCATGGCAGTGAGGGGATTCTTACCATGGCAGTGAGGGGATTCTTGCCATGGCAGTGAGGGGTTTCTTACCATGGCAGTGAGGGGTTTCTTACCATGGCAGTGAGGGTGTCTTACCATGGCAGTGAAAGGATTCTTACCATGGCAGTGAAAGGATTCTTACCATGGCAGTGAAAGGTTTCTTGCCATGGCAGTGAGGGGATTCTTACCATGGCAGTGAGGGGTGTCTTACCATGGCAGTGAAAGGATTCTTACCATGGCAGTGAGGGGATTCTTACCATGGCAGTGAGGGGATTCTTACCATGGCAGTAAAAGTGTTTCTTACCATGGCAGTGAGGGGATTCTTACCATGGCAGTGAGGGGATTCTTACCATGGCAGTGAGGGGATTCTTACCATGGCGGTGAAAGGATTCTTGCCATGGCAGTGAGGGGTGTCTTACCATGGCAGTGAAAGGATTCTTACCATGGCAGTGAGGGGATTCTTACCATGGCAGTGAGGGGATTCTTACAATGGCAGTGAGGGGATTCTTACCATGGCAGTGAGGGGATTCTTACCATGGCAGTGAGGGGATTCTTACCATG